ATGGGATCACTTTGTTAAGATCAAAGATAGTAATTGTGTTGTTCTCAAAGGAAAATGCATACATTGTGGTAAAACATACTGTTGTTAGTCCAAGAATCATGGAAGTTCCTCTCTTAGAAATCACATACTCAACTGTCTCAAAATGCCTTGCTCAAAGGATGCTAGGCAAACCCTTCTCACTTTCCAGTTACTCTTGTTTAATCCAACATATGAAAATACTGGAGTGTGATGGACATGGGTGTTTGATCAGGGTGCAATTAGGAGAGCACTTGGTGAAATGATTATCATTGATAAGCTTGCATGTAGACATGTAGACAGACAAGGTTTTAGGATGTTTATCTCTGTAGCTTGTCCTAGGTTCCAAATTCCTTCCTCATGGACAATTGCTAAGACATCTACCAAATCTATTTAGCTGAGAAAGTCAGTCTGAAAAGGTTATTTAGGGAGCACACTCAGAGGGTCAATATAACAACTGGCACATGGACCTCTGTACAACGGAACAATTACATGTGTATAACTTCACATTTTATAGATCATGAGTGGAAGCTGAATAAAAAGATAATCTTCTTTGTTCCTGTGACTTCCCACAAAGGAGAGTACCTAGCCAAAGCCCTAGAGTCTTGCCTCGTAGATTGGGGATTGAATTCTATCTTCATTGTGACTGTTGAAAACGCTAGCAATTATGACACCGCAATAGGTTTTTTTAAGAAGAAACTTTTATCTTGGGGTGCCTCTTCTGTAAAACTAAAGTACTTTCGTATGAGGTGTATTGCCCATATCCTTAATTTGGCTGTCCAAGATGGTTTAAAAGAAAGTGATGGTTTTGTTCAAAGAGTCAGAGATGTTGTTAAGTATGTTAGAAATTCTCCTGCTAGGCTACAAAAATTCAAGGACATTTCAGACTTTTTTGGAATGCAAACTAAAGGTGGATTGCATCTAGATGTCCCAACTAGGTGGAATTCAACCTATTTGATGCTCAAATCTGCAATGTCCAATGAAAAAGTTTTGAAGCTTAGGAAGGGAATAAAAGTTCCTATGTGGTTGATCTGGGGAATGAAAGCCCTGATGCTGAGGACAGGCTTGCAATTGGAACTTTGATAGTCATTCTTGAAAATTTCTATGATATGACACTTGGTATTTCAGGCTCTCTCTATGTGACTGTTAATACATTCTTCTCTGAAATATTTTATCGATTCCTTGTTCTCAAAGATATGGTTGCTTCTAAAACTGAATAAGTACCGGGGTGATCCTATAAAAATGAACATGCTCATTTTCTTTGCAAATGTGCTTGACCCCAGAGTTAAATATGAATACATATATGCCTCATCAATTGAATGCTTTGTATGGGGAAAAGATAGGTGTGGCCTTATTTGCAAAGATAAAGCTGGGTTTGAATGAGTGTAATGGTGATTATGTTACATACTATGATGTTTCCGTCAATGGAAGCTCTCAATTAACCCCAAATGTTGTATCTTTGCAATTTGATTCAACTGGAAGTAGGCGTGTGTCTAAATTCAAAGCCCAATTAAAAATAGAAAAAACAAGATAGTGGCCTCTTAAGGTTGAAAAAAATGAACTTGAAATATATTTGAGTGAGAACATCTTGAGGAGGACACTAAATTTGATATATTGATATGGTGGAAGCTTAATGGTGAGAGGTTTTCTATCCTATCTAAGATGGAAAGAGACATTCTTGATGTTCCTATTTCCACAGTAGCTTCTGATCCACTTTTAGTACGTACAAGTGGAAGAGTGTTAGACTATTTTAGGAGTTCATGGATCTGTCGCCAAAATTGTAGAAGCACTCACATGTGCTCAAGACTGGTTGAGGATGTCAAACAAGCCTGTGTTAGTGGAAGAAAATATTCAGGAGGTAGAGAGGCTAGAAACACGTACAAAACTCTTACATATTTAGTATTCAGTGTTTATATTTGACTTAGTGTTAACTTAATATTGTTTTCAATGCAGCATTGACTGATGACAATGTTGGTGGAGGCCCTTCTCTTGATCAGATAATAGTAAAACTTTTCATTTGTCTTATAACTATGTAAGGGAGCGGCGCCGGTTCATCCAAACCACCCAAACTAGGTATATCACGGAACGCTCCCCTACCGATGTATTATGACATCCCACAACTTCGGCCGATTGCTTAGCCCAGTGCATAGTCGGCGCAAGAGCGCTCGATCAGTGATAGTGGGTATTCTAATCTAAATTGATTGAGTATTTTACGTAACACTTCCAAAATCAAATCTCATCTTTTTAAATTTCATTTTAATTTACAAAGCTTAAATGTGAGTAGTTTTATTTTTTATCAGCGGTTTGTATGCCATATTATTAATTTATTTATGAAAGATGGCTTAATCGCATTAAGAAATGTGATGGAGAAAGTCAAAGGGGGTATGTATTAGACTTATTTAGGGTAATGATGACGTGCTTAAATTGCAATGATGACGTGCTTATTTGAAATCTAAACGTGTTAGGTACTGTATATTTTTAAAGATTTGTCTATCTGTTTGAGTGGTACTTATAAATTAATTTCTATGCTTCTTAGATTTAGGAACCATTCCCTACCTTTTTGAAAAAAACTCTTAACTATATTATAGAATTGAGCGAGATAGACTCAATGTTTGATGTGAGAACGTGCGAATATCACATTTGCCGCATTCTAATGCACAATGAGACTCGTTTGTTGCAATTTTGCGTTAAGCATAATATTTACTAAAATGTCACTGCAAAGTTAAAAAGTGCACTAGATGACGTCTATTGTGGATCATGTTCGGTTAAATGTGAGTGTTTTCACGTTCTCACGTTAAGCATTGTTGTTATTCGAGTCACATCCCAAGCTCTACCCCATCCTCACCCGCGAGGCGGTTCCCCACGGCCCCTGTCCCCATTGCCATCCTTAATTATACTCCATTAGTTTTCAAAGAAAGTGGCAAAAACAATGCAAGAAAAACATGCAACTTTTAAAAAAGTAAATGAGGATGAACAGATTCCAAATGACAAATTAAGTAAATGAGGTTAAAAAGTATGGCTGTCTAATGAATTTAGAGGCCCGATTCCAAATGACAAATTAAGCCCCCCCCCCCCCCCCCCCCCCAAAAAAAAAACAAGAAAATAATGCTCCCTCCGTCCCATTTAAAGGTTTTCACGCGGTTTATGATGTTTGATTGACCATAAAGTTAACTGATCCCTGTCATTAGTAGAATTGTTTTTAGTAAATAAAATTTAAATATTCAGAAACTACATTAAAAGTTCTATAATACCTGATCAAGAAATTAAATTTGATAAAAGTTGAATATATAAAGTAAAAGATTAAGAACAACGCACGTTGTCCAGAGAATAGTGGGCGGGAACCTTTAAATGGGATGGAGGGAGTACAAATTTTAACAATGAAATGCAAGTTCCATCATATGCAATGGAGCCAAAGACTCGCTATTTTTTGGTTTGGAAATATTATGGAATAAAACAAAATCACTAACTAAAATGTCTCGGCTTCTTTCTTATGAAGTAGCAGTTAGTTCATGCAAATTTCAACGCAATTTTCATTATGTGTCATACAGAAACATTCTTACAAAGGTAAGAATGTGTAAATCTGACCCCGCCTTACCCCACCGAAGGTGGGAGCCTTTGCGGCACTGGGGTAATGATAATGATGAACAATGAAATACAAATAGTCTAGAGAGTTCAATGAAATATAAATATCATGATGTGTAAAGTAAACAAATTAGAGAATCTAAAAGTTATATAGTACTACCTCCGTCCCACTATGTTTGGGACAAAGAGGTGTGACAACTTTTAAGAAAAAGTGGAATTGTGTGGTTAGTATTGAATTGATAAAGTGTAAATAAAATAAAAATGAATTGTAACCACTCAAATATTACCAAATATGGTATGGGGCAAACATAATGGGACAGACGAAAAAGATAAAACGAGACAAAGTTAGGGGGACGGAGGGAGTAATACGTAGTATATCTTATGGAATCTTGAATAATACTCCCTCCGTCCCCCTATTATTGTCTCATTTCCTATTCACTTGTTCAACACAAATCACTCTTAATCTCTTACTTTATTTATCAAATTTTTATCAAATTTGATTCTGGTTTTTGCGACTTTATAAACCTTTTAATGTAGTTTCTTAATAGGCAAATTTTTTTTCCTAAAAATAATTCTAGTGCGGAAAGGGATCTGTTTGCTTTATCGTCAGTCAAGCATCGTAAACCGTAATGGGACAATAACAGGGGGACGGAGGTAGTACATAACTTCTAAAAAAATCAACCTATAACTAATACTAAATTTTAAAATTTTGGAGACCCCCTACAAGAGTGAACCTCGATGCGAAGAACCTATTGCACCTCCTAAAAGACGACCCTATGAATGAAAAGGTTAAAAAGATCAGAGACAACTAAAAGCGGCTTTCTATTTCGGCTATTGATGGTCGCGGTTTTTTTTTCAGAACATGTAGTTGCCACCGCCCCACAAAACCGCTCCATGTGTCGTTTGAATTTTTTCAAAATTTATATGTTATTTATTTGTTGGACCACTTTAATGATATTATCAGACATTGAATGACATTCTCAATGACATTTAAATGTCTGTATGGCATTGCAAATGACATTTCAAATTTTGATTAAATATAGACATTCTTTTTCATTTAATATTTAACCAATGTCAATGACATTGTTACTTTTAATTACAGAATTTCAGTTGTGAATTTTTAAAATTTATTATATAGCAGTATCCAATTTTCTTTTACATTGTGCTATTTCAAGGGACTTCATATGTTAATGACAATGTCAATATTTAGTATAATTGATAAATATCTTTTATTTCAATTATCAAAGCCTAACATTTCATTATTTGTAACATTTGTATGATATTGTACAATTTTTACCAATTTTGCTCTCGTGATAATTATGTCATTACTTGTAATCCTACTGTGATTTATGAAGATAACACAACATGTATAGCTCAGATCAAAGGAGGTTACATCAAAGGGGATAGAACAAAGCATATAGCACCAAAACTTTTCTCCACACATGATCTTGAGAAAGAAAGAACAGTTGATGTCAAACAAATAAAGTCCTGCGACAACCCTGCTGATTTATTCACAAAGTCATTGGCACCGAAGAAATTTGAAGAACTGATCCACAAAATTGGAATGTGTCGTCTTCGTGATATATGTTAATTTGAGAGGGGGGGGGGGGGGGGGGGGTAATATAATGCACTGCACTCGTTTTCCCTTCGTCGGGTTTTTATCCCACTAGGTTTTTCTTGACAAAGGTTTTTAACGAGACAGTACATTATAATACTATGATATTAATACCCCAAAATAATTAGAAGATGATCATTCAAGGGGGAGTGTTGAAATATAATTGAATTAGACATCTTCCAACTATTTCTGATTAGGAATTATTATCACCATTGTATAAATAATTAGGAAATCATAATTATGATTCTAGATGAGAATTGTGTGGTTCACAATTATCCTCTAATCCTAATAAGCTTAGCTTTTCCCCTATAAATAGGAGACTTCTCCATTGTAATCACACCATGATTACACCATTACAACATCTCTAATAAACCTCTATCACTAATAAGTGTTCATACTATATTTTCTCTCCATGATCTTCTGCTCATTTCCTTCCATATTATAACAAGAAGCAGTTACCATACATAAAACTTCCTTATTTATAGGAGTATATAATTTAATAGATGACCCATGTATACGGCAGTTTCCATTCATCGTGAATATGACTACCGGAAAAATAGGATGACTTAAACTCTTCCTATAATTAATACAAAGGGCAGTTGTGGGAATAAATAAAAAATTACTCACCATGCACAACATACGGATGATAGTCTATAGAAAAAACTGAAAGAGTCATACTTTGGGAAACACGTTATGTTTTAGTAATATCCCCAGTAATTATCTCAAGAAAGAAACGAAGAAGCAACGGAAAAAAGCTAACAAAGAACACACTAACTACATACGACGTACATAGTATATAGTATATACTCCATAGTATTTTGCCTCGTTTAAAATATACGTTATTTGATTAAATTTTGGCCCCACCTGAACGTAAATGCTAGATCCGCCCCTGAGTATATACTCCATAGTATTTTGCCTCATTTAAATACTCCTCATTTGACTATATTCATGACTACCAGACCCATGTAGTAATCAACTCATAATAATTTGTACGTCGTATTTAATTTTCAAACTTAAGTTCACATGACACTACATTATACTCCCTCTGTCCCTCTTATATTGTCCCGTTTTACCTTTTTGAAAAGTCCCACTAAAATTGTTCCATACCATATTTGGTAAAATTTGTGTGGTTCTAAATCATTCTTACTTTATTCTTATTTTATCAATTAATATCAACCACACAACCCCACTTTTCTTAATAATCGTGTCACTCTCTTCCGACCCAATATAAGAGGGACGGAGGTAGTAGTAACTATCACTACAAAAAACACGGGATTGACAGGGATTTTGGCAGGGAAATGCCAAATCCGTGCCAAAAACACTTTGGCACGAGCTATTTGGCAAGAAAAATCGGTAAGTCCGTGCCAAATTCTGTGTCAAAACTGCCAATCCCGTAATTTTTTTTAGTGTATTAATCATATTTTTGTAAATAAATTTTATTTTAGTAATATTTTTGGGAATCTAAAACATGAGTCTCTCAAAGTTACGGAATAATTACATCTCTATAATTACTAGCTGACTTTAAAAATATTAACTTATACTTCATACGTAACAAAACTGTATTAACTTTATTAATAATCCTAGTTGCAAAAAAACTTTGTTAATAATCCTTTTAAATGAATTGTATTTCAATAACAGTTTTGAAAAGATTTCTTATTTTAAACTATTGAACGATCGCCCCTCCATTAGTCCATTATAAATTCAGAAAGTCTTGCATTCCCCACCACCAATAATAATGTGTAATTTTAGGTGCTGTTCTCTTCGTCTTATTCTTATTACTTATTGTTTATTTTTATTTTATTCAGATCAGATCAGATCAGAAAAATTCAGATCAGATCAGAAAAATTCAGATCAGATCAGATCAGATCAGAAAGATTCAGATTAGATCAGATCAGAAACATTAAGATCAGATCAGATCAGAAAGATTCAGATCAGATCAGAAGCACTCAAATCAGATCAGATCAGAAAATTCAGATCAGAAACATTCAAATCAAATTGGAAACAATCTATTATTATTATTATTATTATTATTATTGTTGTTGTTGTTGTAATTATAATTATTATTGTAATTATTATTATTATTACTGTTATTATTATATAACGGTTTCGAAAGTTAAGATCAGATCAGAAGGATTTAGATCAGATTTGAGTGCTATTAGAGCGTTAGTGTGTTTGGCTAATAATACCCGACCAGATATTGCTTTTTCCGTAAATTTATTAGCCAGGTATAGTTCTTCCCCAACAAGAAAACATTGGAATGGCGTCAAACATATATTCCGCTATCTCAATGGTGCAATCGATCTTGAATTGTATTTCAAGAATGGTGCAAATGCCACTTTAATTGGCTATGCCGATGCAGGGTACTTGTCTGATCCACAAAAGGCAAAATCACAAACAGGATATGTATTCACCTATGGTGATACCGCTATCTCATGGAGATCAATGAAGCAAACATTAACTGCCACATCATCAAATCATGCAGAATTAATTGCTCTCTATGAAGCAGGTCAAGAATGTGTCTGGTTGAGATCAATGATCCAGCACATACAAAATGAATGCGGTATAAAATCTTTTACTTGTAATCCTACTGTGATTTATGAAGATAACACAGCATGTATAGCTCAGATCAAACGAGGTTACATCAAAGGGGATAGAACAAAGCATATAGCACCAAAACTTTTCTCCACACATGATCTTGAGAAAGAAGGAACAGTTGATGTCAAACAAATAAAGTCCTGCGACAACCTTGCTAATTTATTCACAAAGCCATTGGCACCGAAGAAATTTGAAGAACTGATCCACAAAATTGGAATGTGTCGTCTTCGTGATATATGTTAATTTGAGAGGGGGGGGGGGGGGGGGGGGTAATATAATGCACTGCACTCGTTTTCCCTTCGTCGGGTTTTTATCCCACTAGGTTTTTCTTGACAAAGGTTTTTAACGAGACAGTACATTATAATACTATGATATTAATACCCCAAAATAATTAGAAGATGATCATTCAAGGGGGAGTGTTGAAATATAATTGAATTAGACATCTTCCAACTATTTCTGATTAGGAATTATTATCACCATTGTATAAATAATTAGGAAATCATAATTATGATTCTAGATGATAATTGTGTGGTTCACAATTATCCTCTAATCCTAATAAGCTTAGCTTTTCCCCTATAAATAGGAGACTTCTCCATTGTAATTAACACACCATGCTTACACCATTACAACATCTCTAATAAACCTCTATCACTAATAAGTGTTCATACTATATTTTCTCTCCATGATCTTCTGCTCATTTCCTTCCATATTATAACACGTTATCAGCAGGAATTTGCTCCAAATCCCTGAAATCATCATCTTTCCAACAGTTCATCCATGGCTAATATTAGAAAGAGAGAGTTCGACGTCCTTGATTTATCTGGTCAAAAGTATTTGGAATGGAAAGTCGACGCTTTGGCACATTTAAAAGCAAACTTCCTCGAAAACACAATTGCTGAAAATAATTGAGCTACTCCCTAAAATAAGGCAAAATCCATTATCTTTCTTCGTCACCATCTTCACGAAAGTTTGAAGTCTGAGTATTTATTGGTAGATGACCCTAAAGAATTATGGGATAATCTTCAAGAAAGGTATGGCCATCAACAAAAGGTCCTCTTTCCAAAAGCTCAATATGACTGGATCAATTTACGATTCCAGGATTACAAATCTATAAGTGTACGAATATATTACTCTATTTTTGCAAATATATTTTGTAGATGGCTAATTGTGTAGACATATCTGTTCCTTGTATTTTCCCTTGTATTTAGGGTAGAGAGATTTGTAGGTATTTTGTTACCTTATTAGAAATAGTCCCCCTTGTATATAATATTAGACATACGGCAATACAAAGCAAGTAGGGTTAATTCCTCTTCCAGTACTACTTCGTATTCTTACGCTAAAATTGCTGCACATTTGCTTTATTATGGTATCAGAGACTGTGTAATAGGCCTTGATATTTTTCGATCGGAAAAATGGTGAATGCGCAGACAACTGCTGGTCAGCGGGATGAACGGAAGAAGATGCATGACCCCTCTTCGCCTTACTTTCTTCATGGTTCCGATACACCGGGACTGAATTTGTACGGTATCACTCTTCGTGGGGAAGAGAACTACCGGGAATGGTCCGTTTCTATGAAAAACGCTTTTCGGGCAAAGTGTGAACTTGGATTTCTTGATGGATCTATCCCAGTTCCAGAAGACAAAAATGAGGCAGAGGTTTGGTACACTGTCAATTCGATGATGGTCGGGTGGATCATGTCGTCAATTGATACTACTCTACGCCCAACCATTGCTTATATGGACTCCGTACATGACTTATGGGAAGATTTGAAGGTGCGATTCGAAGCAGCAGATGGAATCCGTTTTCATGAACTGAAACAAGCTCTGCAAAGCTGCAAGCAAGGTGGAGATACTGTGTCCACGTACTACAGACGTTTGAAGGCTATTTGGGAGGACTTCGATGGGTACAGAACAGTCCCAAAATGCACTTGTGGGGCTTGTTCCTGTAATCTTGCAAAACAGATTGCTAAGAGTATAGAGAAGGAGAAGACACATGAGTTTCTTCTCGGGCTTCACGGGAATCTATATGGTGGCATACGATCCAATATATTAGGTGGGACAGATTTACCTTCTCTTAGCAAGGTATATCATATGCTGATACACGAAGAAAGGCTTTTGAAAGTCACCCGAACGCAGGATATTCGGGGAGAGGCGGCAGCCTTTGCAATGCGTTCCGGGGAAAATTGGAACGTTGGATCCTCTGGCAGAGACAAAAGTAAACTCGTGTGCTCATTTTGCAAAAAAGGAGGACATGAACGTGAGCGTTGCTTCAAACTCACTGGTGAGTATCCGGACTGGTGGTATGCAAACAAGAACGACAAAGGAAAGGAACGTTCTGGTGCTTCTGGTAAAGGCAATAACCGCAAGGGACCTGGAGAGGAGCATGCACGCAGGGGGTATTCTGCAGCAGCTCATGCGGTTAGTGGAGCCCAAATGGAAGAGCTTGTTGACCAGGGAGATTCCAGGCCGCCATTACCCACGCTATCTACCGAGCAATGGACAAAATTGTTGGAGTTTATGAAAAAATATAACACAGGTGACAAGGTTGAATATTTGGCAGGTGCGTCATGTGTAAATTGGCTTCTTGACACAGGGGCTTCGTACCATATGACGGGTGACAAAAGAATAATGTTTGATATAATTCCTGTTTCTTCTGTACCTGTCACTCTTCCTAACAGAAATGTCACATATGCTAGTCATATTGGACGTGTGAAATTGGAGGGCGGAGTAACCCTCGAACGAGTGCTTCTTGTGCCGAATTTAACTTGTCATTTGATCTCTGTTGGGCGTCTCATTGATGACTTACCGTGTCACGTTATTTTTACTAATAAGTTTTGTGTGATACAGGACCTAACTTTGAAGACGCTGATTGGAGTGGGTGAACGTCGTGGTGGGGTCTATTTTCTTTGTGGTGTTGACTTCGTGAAGGCTTTTCATGTGGATGGTGGTACTACAAATGAACTATGGCATAAGAGAATGGGTCATCCTTCCCCTCGGGTCATCCGTTTACTTTCTGTCACACAAAATAAAGTTAGCAATAGTGGTAATTTTAATAAGAGCTGTGATATTTGTGCTCGAGCCAAACAAACACGTGAAATATTTACTCCCAGTATTAATCGTGCTTTGCATATGTTTGAACTTATTCATTGTGATGTGTGGGGTCCTTACCGGGAACCTAGTACGTGTGGTGCATATTATTTTTTGACAATTATGGACGATTATTCCCGTGTTGTTTGGGTTCATTTGATGGCAGGCAAAATGGAGGTACCCACTATTATGAAACGTTTTTTTGCTATGGTCCATACTCAGTTCTATACGTCTGTCAAAGTTGTGAGAGCTGATAATGGGACATAATTTTTTCCATTACGCCAATATTTTCTTGATCACGGGGTTCTATTTCAAACCTCATGCGTTGGGACGCCTCAACAAAATGGACGTGTTGAAAGAAAACACCGTCACATTTTGAATGTGGCTCGAGCCTTACGCTTTCAGGCCCACCTTCCTATTAAATTTTGGGGGGAATGTATTTTGACGGCATGTTATTTAATCAACCGGACTCCCTCTCTAATAAATGATGGGAAAACTCCATGTCTCCATTTGAATGTTTATATGGAAAAGTTCCATCTTATGATCACATTAAATTATTTGGTTGTCTTTGTTACGTACATAACAAGAGTAGTGACAAATTCGAAGACCGTAGTCGAAAATGTGTTTTCTTGGGATATTCGTATACCCAACGTGGATGGAAAGTGTTGGATTTGGCGACTCAAAAACAATTTGTATCCCGAGATGTCCGTTTTGATGAAAATATATTCCCATTTGCTGAACACAGGCCCACCAAGTTGAGTTCTACTCTATCGGCTGAGGTACTTCCTAGAATGGATTATCATCCTTACATTCATGATGATGACTCGGATGTTTTTGGTCCGGATCATGCCCATGACCATGCATCCGTACCGCCATCCAGCCCCCACATCACACATACAACCTCTAACATTCATATGGCCCCTGACATGCATGCAGAGGCATCCACCACGCATGACTCTTCTGCCTCCATGCAAAATAATTCAGAAGTTCCCACTATCTTGGGGCGTGGTATGCGGCGCAAGATTCCATCGATTAAATTGCAGGATTACGTCCAGACTCATGCAGCGACATCTGACCCACCCGATCTTCCTACTCTAGTCGTGTCTTCAGGTAATCCTTATCCCTTAGCTTGTTATGTTAATTATAACGCTTTTTCGGTACGCCATCGTGCTTTCCTTGCAGCCATTTCTCATGAAAAGGAACCATTAACGTATAAAGATGCAGTGCGTGATCCGCGATGGTGTGAAGCCATGCGTCGTGAAATAAATGCGTTGGAAGCCAATGGTACATGGACTATGGTAAATTTGCCCGTGCATAAGAAACCCATACATTGTAAATGGGTCTACAAAATTAAATATAATAGTGATGGTACCATTGAGCGCTTTAAAGCTCGGCTTGTTGTTTGTGGCAATAGACAGGTTGAAGGAATAGATTATCATGAGACCTTTGCACCTGTTGCTAAAATGACCACTGTACGCACTTTATTAGCGGTTGCTGCTTCGAAACGGTGGGAACTCCACCAAATGGATGTGGACAATGCTTTCTTGCATGGTAATCTTGACGAAGAAGTCTATATGTACCCGCCTCCTGGTTTTTCTTCCTCTCGACCCTGCCAAGTCTGCCGTTTGCAGCGTTCACTTTATGGACTGCGGCAAGCACCTCGGTGTTGGTTTTCTCGTCTAATTTCCTCTCTCATATCTTATGGCTTTACTCGTTCTTATGCAGATTACTCCTTATTTACTTTACGAAAAGGTGTTGACTTTATCTGCATTCTGGTTTACGTTGATGATTTACTTATTGCTGGCAATAATTCTTCTCTTATTTGGGCTCTCAAGTCTTATCTTGCTCGGTGCTTTCCTATCAAAGATCTTGGCAGGCTCAAATATTGTCTCGGTCTTGAAGTTGCACGTAGCCCTGCAGGTATCTTTCTATCTCAACGTAAATACAAGTTGGATCTCCTTGATGAGCTAGGTTTGTCCGGGTGCAAACCTTCGGATTTTCCGATGGAACAGAATCACAGGCTTGCCTTATCTTCCAGTCCCTTATATTCTCAACCGGAATGATATCGCCGAGTGATAGGCAAGCTTATTTATTTAACTTTGACTCGCCCAGAGTTAAGCTATTGTGTACACATTCTTGCTCAATTTATGCAATCT